ATCCTCCAGGTAGGCAACTTGCACATTTCTTTGCGCTCACTTAAGAATTTGGCCGAAAAAATGCTTAGAGAGGATTCCTGCACGCTTTCAAGCTAATCTTGATCAACGTCATAATTTTGGTTGTCTTCTCTTTTCTTTTAGCCACGTAATGCTTCATCATGTTTACTATTTTTTTCCCTTCATTCCAGTTGTTATAGTTATTTCTGTTATGACACTTGCGAGAGTTGTGTTGGATGCTTCACTTGTTGTAGGTTTTAGCTCACGTGGACTTTGTCTGCGTCAATAAATGAAATGAAATGAAATAATATAAACTCTACAGTAACCCTAGCCACACAGGTGCATACCCTGTACAAACGTGAAAATCTCTACAACTACTCAAAGGGGCCTTCCTTTCAAAGTTGGTGTTCATGGCCACACACAGAACAAACTACAAAGGGTTTCTTCGACTGCACGGACTGCAGAGATATTTGATTTGGATACATCGGAGTACTCTTCATGGCCTTCAGCCCCATTTCACATTCCAAAAAAATGTTGGCCGCTACAGAAGTGTCAGAGAAGAGGCTCAGATGATAAAGGACTATAATGAAAATCATCAGCTCATGTGGGTCCGTCCCTCGTGGCTAGAGCCTGTAGCGCACGCAATAGCGCGCGTAGCTGCCTGGTGACTCAAATAGGATGTCGTGTTCAAAAACAAAATTTTCAATTTCTCTGTACACTCCAGGCAAAGTGGTCAGCGTGATCGGAACATAACTTAATTCTACCAGGAGCGGTAGTTGTAATTCAGTGCTTAGTTGGTAATGAACTGTGAAAGCCTGTTCTGTTCTATTCGGTTTTTTCTTCCTGTTTATTCAGTCATTGTTTGCTTTTTTCGTTTCCAGGAAATTCTTAACCAATCAGCTGACCGCATTATCTCTGGTTATAAAAGTATCAATAATAATTGATAAATAACAGCCGATAACTCGTAAATGCGTGACATTTACGTCACAGAAACTGAAAGAATGACTATTTCTTACTTATTCATTGACCACATAGTAGTTTGATCACAGTTCAGCTTTCAGTGAATAATGGCAAGCAAAAAAGGTGCTATTGCTCATCTCCAGGCACAGAATGGACGTGCTTTTCGGGTGAACGGTGGACAACGTGTGCAACAATGTGTTCCATAGCTGCAAAAAGAATTGTGTCGTTCTGAGGTTCATATGTGCCTGATGAGTAGGAAACTGAACTGTTCTTAAACCCTAACTTTAGGATTTTTATATGATGCGGCCAAATAACTTTAGCTTCTGTCAAACCTTTCCTCAAATCTCCCACATAAGCGAAGGTGAACGTGAATACCTGATTTCTCGAAATTATACTTTTTAACAGTACCCTTTGAAAACGACTTGGGTTTGTTTTCATGAGGTCTGTGTACTTTCTTATCACTGCTTCACCACATATCTCAACAAATAAGAATCGAATGGCAACTGAAGGTCAGATGATCTCATGAGGTAAGCCTGCTCAGCTGCATATAATGGTGAACAACACGTAGTTAGATTTTGAATGCATAACATAGTGTATTTTGAATCCTGAACATAGCACAGAGGATATGAATTACTGGATGTTAGTATGATGTATGTATTGGTATTTAATGCATGATATGTCTATCCTACTTTATATGATTCGCTAAGTGTGTCTGTTGGTGTATCGGTGTGTGTGTGCGTGTGTCGGTGTGTGTGTTTGACCGGAAATTCATACTCCTGTTCGCGTGGACCTAGAGTGTTCAAATTTGGTGCGAGTATCGGGGGCAGGAAGTGAATACCCAGGCAGGTGGCAGGACCTGACTCGGTCCAAAGGGGGCGGGGCGTGCTCGATGGGAATTTTGGGCCGCAAACTTATAACTCCTGTTACAGTGGACCCAGAGCGTTGAAAATTGGTAGGAGTACAGCGCAGGATAGGAACACTCATGGCAGGTAGCAGGTTTAGACTCCGCCTACAGGGGGTAGAGTTCGTGCAGAGCAAGCTAAAATTCGTAACTTCTGTTTCCGTGGATCTAAAGAGTTCGAATTGTGTAGGTTTTAACAGGTGATGTAGGATATGACCAGATATGATCGTAGGTACTCAGTGGCAGTAACCAAATATAGCTGATAAGAGAAGATAAGGAGTCTGAGAATGCATGAGCCACAGACAGATCAAAATCATAAACCTTCATATCATATTCATATCATATTTGTTTCAAAGAAAGAGTGAGAGGTATCCGATCACTACAACTTTGTCGAATAAGGAGGAGAGCCCGGCGTTAGCCAGGCGAACCGACTGGCTAAAGATAAGACAGTGCTTCCCAGAAGTGTTTTATATCCATTCTGGAGAAACTCGAGAAGTAGTGCCACTTGAATCCATTTCAAAAGTAAATGTTGTGATCATTCCCGTCGAAGTAGCTGAACGGAATTGGTGGGCACATAACTCTAATCGGTCATTCCGACTTTCACACATAAAGGAGGAAAGCCCGGCGTTAGTCGGGCGGTCCGACTGGTAATATAAAGATCAATGTAAGATTGAGCGTATGCCGTGTGGTGCCAAGTGGCGCACTCGCATACGCATGGTCCTGAAACCAAATTCTGTACCAGCACCCGTACAGTACAACTCAGAGCCGGGGATGATTGAACGTTGAAATCAAATACTTAATTATTAACAATACATGCCAATTTCGTGTAAAGTGAGTGGGATTTCAACAGTTTCTTTTCTACCTGTGAAAAATCAATGGCTTTAAAAACAAAATCAAGGTTCTCACGCTCAATCGATTCCCTCCTCAGAAGTTGCCTCCGCCATGCCGCAAAAAAAGTCGTTGAAAGGTTAAAGATAAAACTTTGGGGACCAACCCCGTCTGAGGGGTGCGCCAAGCATTCGGCTTCCGCTCAGAATCCTAGTGGCGTATTGGAAGCGTATGTGTCCTATGCAATGAGTTGCGGGGGTCAGCCGATGTACAAGTCAGTGCTTTTATCTTCCCAGACGAGTCTGGTACCAATTAATCTACACCGGAGGGATGGAAGGTTTGATTGGTCTAGGCAGATGTCGATTTGGGGTTAGAACCAGTGACCATGCGTGTGTGAAGTGCGCCACTCCCACTATTTCACCTCCTCACTTGACCGAAGCCGCACGGTTGTAAGTCGGACAAATATAGCGGTAGAGTTCAGACTTCGATATCTGTTTTTTCTCGAGAATTGCTTCTTAAATGGAGGTGCGTTGGCGTTTGTCATGGTCATTGACAGTAACGGTCGCAGCTGTGTGCTATATCCAATTATCTATATTATCGCCTAAAAACTGGTGATACTCTTCAGCAGGGACAGCTTTTTTCAATGTAATACATACATCCTTGAATTCTACAGCATATATACAGCCATCGAAATTCGATCGTGTGATTTTCGAGCTTAGGGCGCAAATCCACCTATATTTTGCGCTATATTTTGCTTATTGGCAGTGACCGTTTCAAAAATAACGGAGAATGCATTCCTTCGGTTCTGGACTTTTTGGGTCAGGCAATGGTCCTGTCTCTGCACTCCTGCATTCGACGCCTGATTTCATATACAAATTCCTCGTGGGAGAGTGAACAGTGCGAGGATCATTCCCGACATTCTCTTGTGGTTTTCTCGATATTACGTTCAGAAGGCGCCTGGCCAATGTTGCTCCTTCTTGTGATGAATTTGCGACTTTTCTTCGCCACAAATAAAAATCCCGCATTGATTTTTGCCCCTTATGTTTCTGCTTAAATTTTGGATATTTTTTCATACAGTCATGGTGACGAACGAAATTGGGCAGTGACGTAACGAACTGTACCAGTTTCCGATCAAAACAATGTGAATGGGGCCAGCATTTTTCTTCTTCCCATCATCACTCCAACGCTTGTGCACATTCAAATAGTTTGACCGATATCTATTATAAATGGGCGGACACTCTTATGTCTTCTTTACTAAGAAGTATTTGCTGAAAGCATAGATAGATGTGGTGAGGTTTCCCTTAACTAAGACCCAAATAAACCAAGAGACGAGGCTCAGTTTTGATAGAGTACGTTGAAGTGCTCCATGGCTTAGTACCTTTGTGGTTCTGAGTTTGAAGTGAGACGAACTTTGAACCAGATATTTCACTATTCTTGGCATGTCACTGACTCTAAAATGTGGAAAATCTCAGCTATTCAAGGCATACATCAGGTAACGGCACTTGTTTACTGCCCTAATACTTGTTAGAAAGAATTAAATAAAAGTCGTAGGTATGCAGTGATCGAAACACTTCCCAAGCGTTTCGTTGCAACCAACGCCTGAATCGCTGCACAGATAACACTCCAACCCTATCTGGTGGCAGGACGTAGTGGCTCGAAAAGTTTATTTTTACAAGCAGCGACCTCTCACCCAAAGCTCTCGCCTTCACTATTTCCCATGTGTTTTATTCCACGATCACCCTTTCTTATATCGTTCTCTAAGACGACTGTTTAAGACTGTCTTTAAGTTTAGGATGTCTATTCAGCCAAAAATAATATTTTATCTGAAAAAGCTTCCATGTGAATGCTTGGAAACAGTGTAAGCTCGAGATTCCCCAAACAAAATTCCAATTTTGATCGATTCCGCTATCTGGGAGCTTCCCGACCGAAACGTCGATTAATTTTGAAATATCAATGTTCTTTGGATGCAAAACAAATAGACGTTATTTTTATCAATCCTTCTCTCATTTAGGTTCCTTATTTCGTCTTTCTCTGACGACCAGCTTTGTTCGGGATGAAATTCACTGTTGAAGGAGCGGAACATGAACTTTCTCGTAGTCTTGAGCCGGAGGTCGGTTGGGATCAACATCAATTCCAGCGTGAATTCTTCAAAAGATTGTATCTTTCAACAAAAAGCAAGCAAGGTTGTTCAAAGTCAAGATGATGAGTGTTTTTAGTTCTGTGATGCGTTCAAATCGGCATGCGATGGGATGAGCAAAGCACTGGAAATTATTCGTTCACCGGGTAAGTCCGTCTTGCTTGCGATCCATCCATCCATCCGTTTGCCGATCAATCAAACTTTACGGCCCATGCATAATCGAATACACGTTTTCTCCCTGTTCTTCAAATTGAAAGCTGGATTTTCCATTAAGTGGACATAACGTGTATCTACAACTTGAAACGATGTAGCTTTCTTCTGTTTGATTTTGCAAGCCAGTTTGTGGTCGAACAAACAAAAAATGCAGGTGTTTGTCCTAATTTTTGATAGAGGGATATGCAATCACAAATGATTCGTCCACATCAGCGCAATTACACTTTCCTAGAGTGGGCAGTTTCTTCCAGGGGTTCAACGGCGTGTGTACTAGTCAGTATTTGTATAAACTCAGGCAGGGTTTTCAGCAACTAAGGTAGTAACAATTCACTAATCAAAATGATTACTACCTTGCTTTCTGATGACAAATTACCTGTCCCGGAGCAGGTTTCCTACTATTTGATGATTTCGTCTATATTGATAGCTTTTTGATTAAAAAAAGTGATCGCATTTGAAACGGACGAGGAAGGGAAAGAAACATTCCGTGTCTGGTGTTACTCGATATCGCAGAACTAGCTGGAAGAGAGAAAAGAAATAATAAAGAAATACCTCAGCAAGCTGCAGTAGTATCGGTTTTTGGAATGGTTCCTGGTATTGTATACTTCAAGGAAGCTGAGTAGTTGAGATTAGAGGTTATTTTGCAAAATGCAAGGTAAAGGCACAGTTCGCTCTATGGCTTAGGAGATATACCGCTAGGACGAACCTGTCTCTCGTATACTATATGTGGCGCAACCAGGTCTGGGGCGTTATGTAGGTTTGAAGATTGCCCCGTGTGTATGCACGGACGAGTTCTAACGGCAATGTAGAGGCTGCATTATTCACAAGAGAACCGATGTGGGAAGCTAAATAACTTGTATTCATCCATAGCGAGAATGAAGGGCAGTTCTGGACACTTGATGTAGTCAGCTCTTTGCGCTATTGGAACGACTAAAATCTCGTCCATATACTCATTCCATTTAATTTCCGTCATCTTCTTTCATTACTTTCGAGTAGCCTTATGTCTAGCAAAATCGGAAAACGCCCCCTCCACCACCGATGCGCTATTTCCAGACAATACTTCCGCTTTTCGACCTTAAAGGATACCTTAAAACTGTGCCTTTGATAGGAAGCTGTGCGTCTCTTTTCCTCGTTGGAGCCAATTTTCCAAAATCAATTTCAGATTTTTCTGAGTAATAGTTTTTACGATTCGCTCCTTCTTTATTTCGGAGTCTAGGTCCTAGCAAATTTCTTTTGCACGGCCAAACCTCTCATGAGAACATCCAAAGAAGTCAATATTGGCTAAGGACACTTATCACTTATCGGCAGCGAGTAAAAATCACCGAACGATAACGTTTCCTATCGTGTCGCCCTTGCGGGGAGGCCAGGGCAAAAGCCCGTTAAGGGTTCTCATAACGTAGGAGGAAATCTTTCAGTAATTACAACATGAGCGATCAAAGATCGAGCCCCTAGCAGAACAATCCTCTCGCTCAAATGAACTATCACAGCTTCTCGTTTGAAACGTTGAGGGTAAAATTCTTTGACTGAAAGACAGCCGAACTGGGCGCTAGGCAATGAACACCTGCTGAAAGAAAAGCAATCAGACGCCTTGCCCTATACCAATTCCACTCTGAATAACTTGTGTTCAGGTTTTGCGGAACGATCTGGCTGGAAAGTTGATTGCAGCAATGATTATGTCACAGTGCACTACAAGGATATCGACGGACTTCGATATTTTGCTGCAAAGGTGAAGAAAAAGTTAACATTCAGCGTGATGGCAGAATCATTCTCCCGAACAATTGCAATTTTCCGTGCGTTCCGTTCTGCGCATCGGGATTTTGTCTGAGTCTTTTTCTCGGGTTATTCATAGATCTTTCTGGGGTAGCGGACTACGTACCTGAATTCCCACGCTCGCAGGCACACGCGCGGCAATATTGTGATCATCCACATACAATTCGAACCTACCTTTACATGTTCGCGAGATCCATTTTGAGTTATTGTAATCTGCTGTACGCAATCTCACCAGGTACGCCTCCCATGCAACTTTTGCGGTCACGTTCTCGCCCGATCCGTAACTTTGGCACCTTATCGGAGCCTTATGTCACACTCGAAATTCGCCATTTTTCACGTTTCCTTCGTCCCTTCGCACTATCCTAGACTATTAAGTTTATTAATCGTTGAAAGCAGGTTACTCCAAAATTGTCGTGAACTGTGTCTTCGAGTATATATAGGGCTCAAACGGTGGATTGCTCTCATCCAGGTGTAAGTGCAGTTTAGTCGGTCTCGCTTGTCTTCTTCTGTAGGAACCGTGATTTAATAAGCATATAACAGAGAATGAGATTCTCCGTGGTCATGACCCCTTTGAATCGAATAAACTTACAATATTGGTCGTTCTGGTCGAGATTTTTCGCGATAAAATTAATCTCGTCCCAATTACTGGGTTATTCAATTAGTTTTCGATTCGTTCACCTGACAGACTGTCTTTTCATAGCTATTCGTTGTTTGTTGACGATCAGGCAGGTCAGGTCCGCAGGAAAAGTTTGATAAAGGCGTAGTGAAGAGATGAAGTAGTGGCAAATGGCGCACAACTTACACGCATGGACCGCGGTTCGAATGTCGGGCTCGAACTCAAAATCTGAAGCTGAAAATAGGGGCATTGATCCTAGTGAGTTTCTTTCTCTCTTGCCATGTCTAAAGTGTACGAGCGCTATTGCCGAACGCAGTGAAGGAGAAAAACACGCAAAACGTGTGAATAATTGCACGCTGACCGTGCTTTCAACGGAGTCTACTGTCGCATCAAATTCCTTGTTTTTAGTTAAAAGGATGTCGCTTTGCAGTCAAATAGTGTTGAATTGTGTGAAATACGCTTCGGTTATACATTTCAGAGTTTTGCGCGATTTGCTTCACTAAAACTAAAAAAAGTTACGAACGGAAAAGCGTTCGGCCGAAGCTTTTTGAGCGCTCACAAAATTGTAAGTAAGAAAATCCTAGAGATCCAAAGAAGTTACTCTATCTGGTAGTACTTTTATAACCTTTCTTGAACGGGCGTTTCTGAATTTCGAACACGCAAAAGTCTGAGAGGCCCAAAACAGACGAAATAGTGTCACCTTACTAAGTGTTTGTGTAGAACTCCTTCCACTTCGTGGATTGCAGTTTTGGAATTACTGCTTTTTTTGACCGCCGCGTACACTATGGTACCTTCTTCTTCTCCTCCCTAGAGTTAATCTAACCCCGTCGTAGGGTCCCCCTACTTGACAGCCGTCTCCACTTCATCCTATCTACGGTATCTTCAGCTGTTAAATTAACTTCGGCGAGGTCCTTCTTGATATGGGGCATATGAACAGCATTAAAGTCGAGATTGTGCAAAATGGTGAAGGTGTAGTGGAATTCTGGCCAACTGTGGGCGTTTATTACGCATAAATTGTGGATGGAATTGCACTGTAGCAATAGGTAGGCTGAGCCTGTGTTGCGAACCAAACGAAATAAGAAAACCATGTGCTTCCCATTTGAACTCAATTGATCATCGTATGAAATAGATAGGCTCTAGCATTATTTATCACTGAGAAATATTTTCGTTTTTCCGCTCAAAACTGTTAAGAATGAATAACACGTCCGTCTTGAGCTCTCATAACATACCTATCACCATAACGCTATTGCTAAAAATGCAGACGAATCTTTGCATCACTGCTCTTATAGGAACGCCAAAACGCACACAAGAAATTGGGAGAAGTCTCTCATCAGTTAGTACAAGTCCCATAACGTAAGAATCTAATGATTTATGGTATCCTCACAATGGTCAGAGACTTACAGGAAAATTCAGAGGTTGCAATCGTGATGAGTGAAAAGTGAAAGTGTCACTCGTGTCAGTGGGGGAAGGGGAATTTTTCGGAAAGAACCTCAGAGTACATGTACTAGTAAAACGACCTTACGCGACTATTCACTTGATTAATCTCACAACCTTGTTGACATGAACCTCTCAAATGGCTGCATAGCAATTGGATACCGAAACTTTTATCTACGTTCTCTATGTTCATCTCCTTTCCACCACTCAAGACTCAGCGTAGACAGAAAAAACTTTTAGCAAATGTCAAAGATACAATGACTTAATTTTTAGACAATAGTCGCTGTGAAAGCTGATGTGCTAGTGAATTTGCATTGGAAAGGTCTTGCCAAGGCCAAGGAATACAATGATAATATGAAGTTCTCTGAGCACGTACAACAATTAACCGAAGACATTGATATCGCTCACGTAAGTGTCATTTCAAACTCATTGGATTGGACGAATATATGTACAGTACCGTTCAATAAGAAATCACTTTGGACCTTGTTTGTCATAACTCATCTCAAAAGCAACTGATTTTTTGACGTCACCCTTTTCAAACATTATCGACTCTCCTGCGATGTAGAATAGGCGGTAGCTCGCTTCTGGCCGAATGGGTGAATTTTCTTTTCAAAAAACTTGCGAAAGGGGCATGTTTCCAAATAGGTCTCATTGTGTTTTTTGAGTCTAAAAGTGTCGGTGTATCTTTTCTTCTATTAGCTGATTGCTTTCAGTAAAGAGACGAAACTCTGGCTCTTGCGCTCTGACCGTGAATCAACCCCACGGGCAGTAAGCAGAAGTTGACCCATGCTCAACATCCAAGGAAGTTTGTTGTGCCATTGTCTATGATCACGGTGGCTATCGGAAGTATTGATTCTCTACAGGTCCAATCAAACAAGTCAGCTCGGAAGGGTCACGGGTTGCTGCTCCTGAGAACCATAGGAAAATCATTTGTGCGTCGATCAAAGATTTCAAGCGAGCATTTTCCGATTTAATGTGGAATATTGACGACGGCGAAGTCGCTACCATCTAGAAGGACCATCAACAGCAGATGCCTAAGGGATGCTGGATTATATTGAAGAAGGCTTGTGCAAAAGTACCTGAATCTCTAAAAAACAGACGAGGTCGTCCTAAATGGGCGCGTAATTTCGAGATCATGTAGAGCGACTAGTCAAAGATTGTTTTTCTTGGTACAGGTGGAATTTCGTTCGTAGACGACCTTTTAGAATACAAGTTTCAGCACCAAGTACCAACTGACAACCCTCAGGCATGGCTCGATATCGATATTGGTTTGGGGATGTTTTCCGAGTCTGGATATGGGGTCCCTGTATTATATTCCCACAACCATGGACGAGAAGGTGTACGTAGACATTGTGCTGAAATGCATGCTACCTTTCGCCCGTCCTACGCACGGCAGAAAATTTACTTTCCAGCAAGATGACGACCACGAACACTGGTGTAGAAGGGAGCTTGAGTGGCTGACTCATCGGAAAATTCGATGCCCTGACTGACCCAGCCAGTCCCCAGACCTAAACATCACTGAACCCTGCAAGACTTCCAGGAAAGGTTAACCGGTTGAACAGTCACAAACGTTGTTTAGGGGTTTGACCAACTTGAAAAAGAATGGAAGGAAATTGGTGAGTGATCGACAAGTTGGTCGAACCAATACCCCGCAGATGCCAAGCCGTCATCGATGCCAACGGCTGCGCTACAAAGTATTAGACTAGCAGTCAGTTAGGTTTTAATCTCGTGATGATAGCATTCAAGTCAGCTAATTCTTTCTAAATTATTAAAATTGATGTTATTTTGTCCTTTTAGGAGAAAATGGAAAAGGTTCAAGGTGATTTCTTTTTGAATGGTACTGTATACTGTATATGCTGGGAGAGTCGAGGCTGCCATTGTTCAGTTTTTACTCTTGTTACCAAGCGTTGGCCAACATTTAAGGTCAAACCCATAGGCGATAACTGTTTAGCAGTTTGAAGTGGGTTCATTTCCCTCAGACAATACCACGCTTATACGTACTTGAGGACGACTTTGTCGTTCGAACGAACGGAAAAACTGTGAACAGAAGAACCGATAGATCTGACTCGATTGCTTAAACTGATACCACAAGAGTATTGTAGCAAGGCCAACTTCGGGAAGAACTTTTTAGTATTTAATAGTGTGAAGATGAGGGCGGACAACCTCATACCCACCACGTTCAGGTAGTTTCAGAAGACTCAGAAATCTTGCTCCATCCTTTTTTTGGAGCCTTTTTTCATTGTTATTTCAGTATGCATCAAATGAAAAATTCATGGTGAAGAGTCGCGAATTTGTGGTTGCAAGAATGAAGAAAAAGATTGGTGACGGATTCGTTCTCGCCGGTCGTTCGTGCAACGTCAACTCGCTTCCTCCTAGCAAAGATGCTGTCAGGTGATAATATTAACAGCTTATTATTAGTAAATTTAGTTCCCCGTCAACCACTGTAAAAGCTTCCACACACTTGAAAAGCTATTTATTTTTTGTATCTTTATTTTATTCCAAAGGCCTCGTAGACGCTGAAGAGAAGGTGTTGGTAGTCACTCAACACTCAATTCAACCTCAATGTCACAGTCCACGATAATTTTGAGGTACCTTTTTTGAGTCGAGTTACGTAATGGTTGGGAATAGTGAGACTGGTGGGAATGGGTGGTGAGACTTATTTATTTGTTTATTACACTCATAAGAGTGCGCCCGGATGTGGCAGAAAGGAAACAAACAGTAACATATCAGGTTATAAGGAAAGTTCTGCCTTTTATCAACTAACTTTCAAAAAATCATAACTCATCTCACAGTGAACATTTTATTCAAAGTAAGTCCCATTCGATTCTGCACATTTTTCCCAACATGATACAGGTCTGTCTATCCCATTCTTATAAAAGTCCAGAGATCTAGTTTCCAAGAACTCGAGAAAGACAGCTTCCGTGTCGCCTTGATTTTTAAGTACTCGATCCTTTAAGAAGTTGTCTAGATGTTTGAATAAGTGGTAGTCAGTTGGTGGCAGGTCTGGTAAGTAAGGTGGATGAGGGGGAGCTTTGACTTGGCGTTCAACTGCTGGAAGAAAATGCGTGACACACGCGCATTGTCGAGCAAGAGCAGTGGATCGCGGCGACTGACTGGTGCTGTGTGGCTGGCTGCATTTGCCCCAATTAAAAGTACATCCGTGAATTTGATCACAATAGGATTGCGCGTTGATGGTTTGACGTGGACGAAGAAACGCGTAGTGGCTTCATCCATGGTTGGACCACCAAACTGTGATCATTGTTTTCTTGACGTGTGAACTTGGTTTGGGAAAGGTTTTTGGAGGTTCATCCACACGTACCCACTGAACAGAACGCTTCCTGTTATCATACAGAATCCATTTCTCATAACACGCTACAATACGTTAGAGAAAAAGCTCAACATCATTTTTCCTTAACAGCGAACTTGAAACTTCTAAGTGCTTTGATTGTTGCTGCTCCGTAAGTTCGTGTGGCACCATCCTGTCAAGCTTCTTCACCATTCCAAGTTGCTTGAGATGAGCATCGACGACTGTGTGAGAGACACACATCTTTTTGACAATCTCTCTCAAAGATTGACGTCGATCTTCTTCGACTACTCTCAACAAAACCTCAGGATCGACTAACGATGGTCGACCGACTAGCTCTTCGTCTTCCACTGACTCGAATCCACTTCTGAACTTCTGAAACCAGCGACGAACTGTTTGCTCCGATGCAGTGCCTTCTCCCCATGGAACATTGATGTATGTGGCTGCCTCCTTCACAGTTCGACCAGGTTTGAACTTGTAAAGTGAAACCGTTCGAAAAGCAGTCTTATCCATTATGCAAGAATACCTCCTAAGAATTTTGAAACCTTACAGACTTCGGGAGAGGCGTCATGACAGGAAGAGCAACTAATGACTCACCTAAAGAGCACAATATGTCGGTTAGTCTGAATGGGCACCCGCCAGAATTTGAATTCATATGGGACGTGCGCAGGAAGGGCCAGAACTTCCCTTACAACCTAGTAGAATGAACTAGTGCCGCCCACATAAAGCCACGGCGGCTAGCATCAGGCAGTAAGAAAATAGAAACAAAAAACAAGGAAAGAACAGAGCCAAAAAAACCCAAAACAGAACAATGAAACTATGAGGCCACAACTCTATAAGAGAAGGAGACATTGCGAGTAACATCAAGTACTATGAATCCTTCTTAGAGCACCATTAGTTCGCAATGGAATAATGGTAATTTTTCTTCTTCATTTAGACATTTGGCGATAGCAGACAAGTGGTTTTTTAATTCTTTTGCCAAAGCTAACTTGAAGCCTGAAGCTTTCCCAAACTTGAAAAAGTCGTTACTAATGTTGTTCCAAGGGAGCACAACTCTGCAAGAAAACGAACCTCTGTAAAACACACTATTAGCGCCATCTAGGCAGAGTCTGTAGGGATGATCTCTAGTGATGCTGGCGAACGGAGATGCGCGAAACAGAACATAGAGCAAAATATCAGTTTCTTGGAATACATGTTTATACAAAAAGCCCAAATCGGCAACACTCCCAGATCCTCTAGTGTCAGTGCGTCAAGAAGGGTGAGAGTAGTCACTTATGGCATCCTATCTGTAGGTGAAACGCTTCTGCACCTGTTCAATTTTCTTAATAAGAAATGCTTTGTACGGAGACCATGCAGGCGTACAATATTCGAGTGAAGGCCTCACATAAATGGCGGACAATCCAAAGAGGAGCTTAGGATAGCGAGTTTGGAAGGCAGGCAATAAGAAATTAGAACGGAAGTTAGCTTCGGTCACCATCTCTGATATGTAACAATCAAAATATAGGTTATCGTCGTAAGTGATAGCAAAATCTCGAATGGAACTCGAGCGTTTGAGCGGGCAACCACCTACCTGAAAGGTGACATCGGGATGGTTTATACCTAAGCACATAATGGATGTTTTCTCTTTGGAGATGTCAAGACCCCGTCTTCGTGCCCATTACTCTAAATAGTTGAGCCCATGCTGTGGAGTTGAGAAAGAAAATTCGCCGATTTTGCAAAGAATGAGGCTCCTTAAAAGTAGTCAGATAGAGGTTCTACAACATTAGCATGACGGAAAGGACATGGGAGGGGCATTTGGACGAGATTGCTATTGCGCAAAGAACTTACTGCATCACCTCAAAGCTGTCCAGAGTTGCTTGGGGGCCCATAGATCGATCCTCCAAGAAATCTTGGAAACTATTTTTATCGCGGACTAGGCTTTTGAGGGTGATGGGCATTGTGTCAAATTTTCTATGGTCGCAGATTTGCACGTCCATGTTTTGTGGCAATTATACTGATCATCTATTGGAAACATTTGTCGCATCTAAACTGAGCTCTTCGACACGCAACGGGTGCGGCGAACGCCAGTCGATTTCCGAATATTCTGCTCATGATACTCCTGATGCTACCCTGGAAATGTTTAATGACCTGCTAATAGAATAATAGTGTCACCCGTATCACCTGTCGTCCAGTTGATCATCGATTTTTTCGAGCAGGAGCCATTAACGTCTGCATTCGCCTCTGCCACTAGCCAGAGTAGTCCAGCGTAGCATCTTCGCTTCAGGGACACGAGGCCCAGCATTCTTTTCATTTGACATGTTCGTAAGGAAGTCTGATCACCGCGTCGATATTCGCCCCGGGCATCTTCTCGACGGATCCAGTCATTAACCTCCTTGTCCGACGGTCATCACTATATCGCATAACGTGTCCGGCCCACTTAATCTTCGATTTCTTCGCATAATTGATGGCATCTCTATCTTCGTACGATGACGCAGCTCGAAATTCCTTATTCTCCTCTGCACTTGCGTGTATAGGGGGGTTACGAACATCGATACTCCCTCGGTATTCTGAAATGCTTCTCAGGCAAGGCGTTCTCTTCTGCTCAGCTCCGGAATCAGGTCATTGGTCATTTTGACTTCCCGACCTAGATTCACATAACTAGAGCATTTAGATCAATTCGGTCCGGTGAGTGTAAAGGGAGCACCAGGAATCAATCCGTTTCTCATGAACATCGTCCTCGGTAAGTTCAATCTCGAGTCGACCTTTCCACAAGCACTGTCAAACTCGGCCAGCATTCGTTCCGCCTCCTTGGTGTTCGGTGTTGTAAGCACGATGTCGTCTGCAAAAAGGAGGTGATATAGGAAGCGGCCGTCGACCTTCACTCCCAAGTCTTACCATTCCAAATGACGCATGATATTCTCGAGGGCGGCACTGAAAAGTTTGGGAGAAACGGTATCGCCCTGCCGGACACCTCTCTTAACGTTGATAATGACTCCCCTAAAGGGTGGCGAAATCCTGGCCATGAAGCTGTCGTAGAGCTCACAACGCATCCTTTATCACGTATTGTATTGAGGAACACCCCGATTGGCCAGGGCTTCAATTACAGCTTCCGTCTCGACTGTATCAAAGGCTTTCTTCAAAATGAACGTAAGACATAACTGCATTTTGCACTTTCGCGACACTTGCCTTGCAAGAGCGTGGATATGATCGATTTCACGAAACCCTCTCCGAAACCCTGTTTGCTCGCGTAGCTATTCTTCATCTAATATTCTGCCAATCCTGTTTGGGATGACGAAAAAAGCTTGCAGATTAGAGAGCAGGCAGATTGGGCAATAGTTGCAAGGTCTTCGGAATCTCCCTTCTTGCACGCAACACATTCTTGCCAGTTTCCACGACGAGAGCACCTTGCATTCTAACAGGTACAGTACTCGCCGTAAGAACTCAAAAATTTGCGATAATACCGCGAG